TTAATGGTAATAATTATATATTAAAATCAATTGATTTACAGTTTCCTTAAAAACAGTTACTCTATTTAATCTTCCATATTTAAAAAAAAATTAAAACATAAATTATCTATTAAAAAGTAAAATGACATTTATACCCTTATTTATTAAAAATAAAAAGAAAACATGGAATTATTCTATTGGTTGATGGTGATTTCTATTGTTTGCATGAAATAGAAGGTTTACAAAGTAACCCTATGTTCGTGCAAGTTAGGGATATAATTGTTTTAATCAATTTTAATAGATAGTTGGTTTATTTGATCTAGTGGAAAATTCAGATTCATATAATCACGTATCAGTTCTAGAAACGAGAATGAGAATGGTATTCCTCACATCTGCCCGACCTCGATATTATATATATATATATATATATATATTATTATCTATTTTTTTGATTAGTTTATATTGTTTTCATACTCTTTATTTTACGACAAACTATGACTTTTGATTTTCCATTATTTTGCATAAATCGTTTATTATGCACCTCTTCAACTATATAAATAGAATTTGTAAACCACCTTTACGATTATTTCATTTTTTTTCTTCAAAAATCAGATCCTCCAATGATTTGAGACATGTAAAATTTACGAGTTAGAGTATCGTATATTAACAATAGGTTATTAACTTCTTTGAGTTTTTTTTTATTACAGAAAAGTCTATAAAAGCCTGTTTAAACATCAGTAATAATATAAATAATTGAATGTGTTTTTTTTCCCTTGAGAATGGGGATGAGGATGGGGGTGGGGGTGGGGATGGAGAATTGGAGATATGGATAGGGGATATGGGCATGGATGAGTCCATATTCCAAAGATAAGGGGTTCAATTCCCCATACCCGAGCAGGGATATGGAGTGGGTAGGAGAATCAAGAAAGGACAGTGACGGCAACAATGAAGCAAACCCTGTTCCCATTCTTACATTCGATGGCTCTAAAGAGACTCAGTAGAGCCACCGAATGGTGGTCAAACGCAAGACCAGACCTATGAGCTACTTAAGAAGTTTGATTATATTATCTGCATACTTTTTCTCTGTTTTGTTTATATTAAACAAATATTTAAAGAATTAATCACAAACATAGTCATTTAAAGAGATTTATACTACACAAATAATCTGACGATATCATAAAATAGCCTCAAATTAACCCTAAATGTGTGGAGTTTACTTTTTTTGGATTTTATTTTTATTTTTTGTGGGCTCATTCAGTAAATCCTGTATACAAAATCCTTATTTTTTACAAAGTTTTAATTTTGAAAATGTAAAAAGAGAGACTTGCATCAATATATCTAACGGAAAAAAAAATATACTTAAATAGATGTATATTTAGCAAATAACATGTGTCCATAAACACCCCACTTTTCAATTTTTTTAATTTATAGAACGTAATTTTATTTATAAATTATTATATAAATTTAATATTATGTATAATGTAAAATTATANTCACTAATGAAATCATATTATTCAGTTTTCAAAATGTTTTACTCGTGAAACCAATTTCACTAATGAAATCATATTATTCAGTTTTCAAAATATTTTATTTATAAAACCAATTTCACTAATAAAATCATATTATACAGTTTTCAAAATAATTTTTTTAATTTTTACTATTCTATATAATTTTAATTTAAACTTATTAATACAAATTTAATAGTATATGAAAAATAATGTAAACATAATAATATATAATTAATACTTTAAACTTTAATAGTATTCACCTTTTTTCTTTTTGCAAGAAAAAAGTGGATGATAGAAATTCTACTATCTTTTGGAATGATGTTTGATTGGGATATTCCTCTCTTAAAGTGCAATTTTCAAGGGTATATGTGATTGATCATGACATATCGACATCAGTTCAAGATCGATTGATCTGGGGGATTGGGGCTCGGTTTTGCGTAGACTGCCGAGACAGGGGGTGGAGGATTTGGAGATGTCAACTTTACAGGAGATTCTTGCTACGGTCACGATCTATGATCAAAGAGATAAATGGTTTTGGTCCCTTGATGGTTTGGATGAGTTCTCGGTGGCTTCTACTCATAATTACAAAGACTCTAAATTTTTTGTGATAGATAATTCTTCTACTAGATGGAATCAACTTGTTTCTATTAAGATTAATGCTTTTGCTTGGCTGTTGGGCTTGAACAAAATTCCAACTCGAGACAATCTTGATAAAAGAGGAATTTATGTGCATTCCTTCTTATGCCCCGTTTGCGATTTGGAGATTGAATCAGTGGGTCATTTGTTCTTCTCTTGTCAAATGGCCCAAGATATTTGGAAGCAAATTGGTCGATGATGAGGTTTGGATATTCTGGAGTTTAATTCCAATTCGGATTGGGTTGGTTGGTTGGTTATCATCTTTTCGATTGAAGAAAGTGGAGTTCACTTGTTTAGAGGCAGGTCGTTCTAACAACAAGGGTAGTGCCTGATTGGTTTGAACTTGACTCCAAAGGTTAAAAGTATCAGGAGGTCTCAGGTTCAAATCCAAGAAGAAATAAAAATCCCCTTATGGTCACGGATCCAGGCTATCTGCAAAGCAAGTGGTCGCTCTGAGATTAGTCGACTCGCATAGCGGGTTGGATATCCAGGTTAATAATAAAAAAAAAAATTAGGCTTCCTAAGCCTAAGAAAACGGCATTATGGGATAACATTGTAACCCATTTGTTCTTTTAGGTTGCATAATAGGAGTAGTAAATTTAACATTAATTGGGTGGATTTGTTACAAAATCCCATTCTTGCTATATTTTACATGTAATATTTTTTTTTCTAGCTTCTTGCTAGTTTTTTTTTATATAAAATCTCCGTCGTTAAAAAAATTAAAAATTAAACTTATTGATATAAAAACTTATATAAAATTTTGCAAGAAAAGAAAAATAAAACAAAATTAAAAAATTATTTAATAATAATTATTTTTTTTTGTTTCATTTTTAACTTATATGATTTATAGATTTACTAAAAGAAAATAAAATAGTTAAAAAATAATAAATAAAATAACAACATAAAAATAAATGTATACAAAAACTCGGGTTTTTGTTCAAGCACCTGCGTTTTAGTAAGAACGTATGGTTGGACAAGAACCTCTATTCCATAGTGGATGTTTTGTAAAACCACAAGAGGAACCTCCATTATGGATGCTCTAATTGTAACACAAATATTATTTGATTTTCTTAAAAATCTCTATATATTTTTTAGATTTTATTAATTTTAATTTTAATTAATTCATAATTTTTTTTATCAAGTTGTATATAATTTTTCACTCTTTTTTAGATACACTTTTAATAACATTTTTTTCACAATTTTTCATCAAATATTACATGTGATATCCATAATTAATCTCTTGTCTTTTCCACCATTTCTTTCTATTTGTTATCAACGTTTTGAATCACATGTGATTAACTACATTTAACATATGATCTACTATGTGAATTTTTTGTACATATAACATGTGTGATAATATACGAGTGTGAGTATAAATTACGTATTATTACTATTTGATAATATGCATATGATATAAGTGAAGTATTATCACACGTGATAATATTTACACTACAATAAGATTTATAAATGTAAATATACATAACCACATATGATTAATAAAAATATCTATAATTATCATGTACGGTTGCTACAATAATCACCGAACAAATTATCATATGTAATAAAAATCAACAATAAAACTGTTATAAATTTATCTATGAAATCGGTTTATTAGGGATTAATAGAAATCGGTTTGGAAAACAAACTCAATCATGATTTATTAAGGATTATTCCCATGATTACAGATAATGTTGTACACAAAAGGACAATCATACCTTTTTTTAATTCAATTTAATAATGTTTTATTTATTTCATTTATTAAATAAGGTATCTGAGCTATATTCTTTCTCGACCATTTGAAATTAATTTGATTATCGCGTTATCCACCTCCTCTCTCTCTCTCTAACAAGTACTTCCTCTGTTGATGCAAAAAAAATTACAAAATGATTTAGGGACCGTTTACCCGAACGTTTAGTGTTTATCAGTAAGAATCAACAATTTCATTTGTCTTGCCGGGTAAGATTATAGTTCATCGAGACGACATTTTATGCAACAATTTACCATGTAAGTGTAAACAGGAAAATAACCATCACCCTCACTTGCCGGGTAAGACTTTTGGTCTTTGCTGTATTTTTTGTCGGATAAAATTCTTAGTCCTTATTATATTGTGAATCGATAAACACTTGCCGAGGTAAATTAAAAATTATGAAAAAGCGTTGAAAAAACTGTGATGTTGACATGATAGCAACATAGGGATGTGTGATAATATGACACCAGTGCGTGAGCCAACGACAAATGTAACGAATTGAACATATGCAGAGGCTCTGATGATGAAGGGCTACATTTTAACAAACCATTGTTCCCAATACCAACCATTTGTAATCAAAAGAAAGAAATCAACAAAAAAAACTGCCATGGAATTTAGCATGCCAACAAAAAGCAAAAAAACAAAAGCATTAGGAAGGAGATATGCACATGATCTATGCTTCCAGTTACGTACGTTATATCCATTTTTAATTCAAGTTTGTTTGGAGAAAGGGGGGGGTGTGGGACAGGCTACGTCGTATACGTAAGGTAGGTATATTGGTATTTCTATATAAGTTCTTGATAGCTTCAAGACGGATCCACTGCATCTGCATGCCTAATTTAGAGGTTGTAAATTTGTGGGTTTTGTTTCAAAATCTCAATTGTTCATGGTTTTCTGGTTTGTGGGTGTGTCAACACCAAGTGTTCGATCATTTGTTTGAGAGAGGTGAATAGTTTGTCGTCAGAAATCCAACCCATTTCTCAAGATTTTGTTGGGTGATTGGAAGATTTTTGTGGTAATGCAAGTGGTGAGGGTGTTCTTTTTTGAGAGAAATAAGATCATTTAATTGAAAATTGTACAATCAAATGGATGCAAAAACACCATTGTTGTCAAGTGAGGAAGATTCAAATCACATAAGAAGGCATAGACGTACTTCAGTTACTAGCCTGAGAGGTGATTTCCTTTCAAACTTACCCGACAAAGTCCGGCGTGGCCTTGACCCTGAGTCTCCATTCCAGGTTGACCTTTCAAAAACTACTGGACTTATAGAAGGTAAAAAGATTCAGATTCAGATTCATCTTTACTTTTTATTTCTTTATTTATTTATGCTGGGTACTCATTGATCTGCCCTTTAAAGAAACCATTGTTAACCAGGGTTTTGGCAGGTTTCAAACAAAAGGATTCTCTGCTTAGTTTTTGTTAATGGATGAAGCCTTTTAGTGTAGCTACTACTCATGATCTTTTAAAGTACTATGGTGAAAATGAGCATGAATAGTTTTAATTGTGCATTCCTTACCTTTGCTATAGAAATTAGCAATTCAAATTGGAGACTGGTCTGGATCTTTTTTCTTTTCGGGGTCGTAGCATTATCCGTTGGTTAACTTGGTGCTTGTGATCAGGGGAGAAAGAATACTATGAAAAGCAATTTGCAGCTTTGAAGTCTTTTGAGGAAGTTGATTCTTTACGTTCAACCAATATCGTTGATAATGAAGAGCAAGAGTTGATAGAACAAGCTCAACACGAAAGAGCAATCAACATTTCTAATTGGGCAAACATCTTTCTACTTGCACTTAAGGTAAAACTGATCTTTTACATGAATTAATAAACCACCAAGTCTTTTTTTTTCCATAATTTCTTTGGTTATTAGTTGGGTTATTCATAATTTTGAATGAGAACCTTCTGTTTTAGAATGCATTATGGAGTGATTCTTGATGAACTGCAGCTTTATGCAACAGTACAAAGTGGATCCTTGGCGATTGCAGCATCAACACTGGATTCATTGCTTGATCTCATGGCAGGCGGTATTCTATGGTTCACTCACCGGTCAATGAAAAGTATCAACATCTACAAATACCCTATCGGAAAATTGCGACTCCAACCTGTTGGCATCATCATATTTGCAGCAATTATGGCTACTCTTGGTATGTTCTTGTTCTATAATTCAACTTCAAAACGAACATGGATATTGATTTTTAAGTAAAAAAGTTGGTGACCAATCAATGCACAGATTTTCAGCATCAAAGATCAGAGGTATATGTTGCAAAATGCATTTTCTTTGCATAGGATGTGGGAGAGCCAACAGCTAAAGAATTATCGGATTCAGCATGTGTGCTTAATGCATTCAAGAATAGTATATCTGTAATCTTTTCATATTATCATGTATATGCAGGATTTCAGGTGCTGATACAGGCAGTGGAGCAGTTAATTAAGAATTCACCATCTGAGAAGATGAAAGATTTTCAGTTGATTTGGTTGTATGCAATCATGCTGACTGCTACAGGCGTGAAACTGATACTTTATATATACTGCAGAAGCTCCGGTGACAAGATTGTTCGAGCTTATGCCAAGGTGCTCATTATAAATTTATAATTGAGCTTTAGAGATAAAGCTTAAAGGGAAATCCCAGAAACAACTGACAAGATCACTCATTTGTGATGAGAAGATCATGGGTTCGAGTAGCGTAAGCAGTCTGTTTGCAAAATGCAAGGAAAGACTGTATAAATAGGTTGTTTTCGAGCTGAGCCAAACCCGAGCTTGTTTAACTCCCGTCTCGTGAAATTATTGGTAGGCTTTGGCTCATGCTCACCAAACTTGAAAAATTCAAGCTTGCACTTTGCTTGTTGAAAGCTAGAGCATTATCCATAGGCTTGGTTCCTATGGGCTCTATGCATAGACTTGGCTTGTACAGACTTATATAAGTTATATAAAATTAAAGTGAGGTCATTAAAATGAAATTGCAATTGAATCCTCTTTTTGGAAGTTTCACTAACTTCATGAAATTACAACAGCTACCTTATACAGGCTTGGTCCATTTAGATTTGAGGCTGACCCATGCTAGGCTCAGCCTCAACTAAGACAATCAAACAAATTTGTTTGAGTTCACCATTGGCTCGGGCTAGCCAATTTTTGAAGTGTATATAACTTGTATAAGGCAAAACTCAACACACACATTCCTCATCTTTGGTGAGGCTTGAACCTTTGACTCCAGGGAGGTTGGGATCTACCAATAGCCAATGATCCTTTGGTGGGATAGCCAATCTCCTTGACAAGCCAATTCATTAAATAGTAAGTACTACTTGTTTCGTTATGAACTTATCTAACTTACCTGGCAATACGTGACTATCAGGACCACTATTTTGATGTGGTGACAAATGTGGTTGGTTTAGTTGCTGCTGTACTTGGTGATGAGTTCTACTGGTGGATTGATCCTGCTGGTGCCATACTTCTTGCTGTCTACACAATTAGCAATTGGTCTGCAACTGTCATGGAAAATGCAGGTTTCTCTCTAACCTCATTTATATCCCCTAACATTATGTGTAACCTCAAGAAGTGTTTGACAATTAAGCAAATGTACAAAATGCCCTTTAATATTGACGAAATAGGGGAATCTTGTGGCCCGAGAGTAATAGCTTTGTTATGTCGTTGACGATAACGAGCAAATTGGTAAGGAATTGCAGGCTGAAATTTTGTCAAAAAGGAAAACATTTCAACTTCCATGGGACATCCGAAACGAAAATTTTGCTTCAACTTTCATGCATCGCAGGGAGTACACGGGTGTTATAATTAATATTTGGTAATGATTGTCTCAAAAACACCTTCATGAACATATGCCATATTCTGCAACCAATGATTACATTTTGATCCTTCTATTGTTAATGATAAATGGTTTATCTTCTTATACAAGTTCTTTCGGAACTAACTCATCCATGAAGGGTAAATTGGACAGGATTTTGGTATTTTAACTAGTACTCAATAAGTCCCATGAAAACTGCAAATTGGATAGATAAGAAAGTGTTTGACTATCAACCAAATGTCTTAAATAATCTTCAATATGACAGAAGTTGAAGAATCTTATGGACCCCAATCAGTTTGTTCTATTCTACGTGTGATTGCAATATATAATCAAAAGGTTGCTAAAAAAGCGAGTGTCTCAACTTTCACAAGCCAGAGGTTGTATGAATTGTAATTGTCCATGGACTTAATTTGATGTCGTTTTGCAGTTTCACTAGTTGGGCAATCGGCACCTCCTGATTTTCTGCAGACACTTACATATCTAGTCCTAAGGCACCATCCTAAAATCAGCCGTGTGGACACCGTTCGTGCATACACATTTGGCGTCCTCTATTTTGTTGAGGTGTGTCATTTCTTCATATGATGTCGAAAATATGTCATTACAATGAGGCCAAAAGCATCAGCCGTTAAATATGGTTTTCTTTAAGTTATATTTTTTTCCCGATAACTATGGGTGTTCAAGCCAGCCTGTGTACACCTAGACTAGTCATGGCCCCCTGAAGTTGGCAGTCAGATAAACCCTCTAGTACTTGGGGAGCAAACCCAAGACCTTACCTGTTAAGCTACCCCAAAAGGGTTTTTTTGAAGTTATATATTGATGTTTGAAAACAGGTTGACATAGAATTGCCTGAAGATTTGCCACTGAAAGAAGCCCATGGAATCGGGGAGTCGCTTCAGATCAAGATAGAAGAACTACCAGAAGTGGAGCGAGCATTCGTTCATCTTGATTACGAGTGTGATCACAAACCAGAGCACTCTGTTCTTAGCAGACTTCCCAACACCCAGCCTTGAAATCCATATCATATGCTTGTATTAGCATAGTTTGTAGTTGCTTGAATTTAGTCTAGGTTCTTCGGTCTTTTGGGGGAAAATGTTTGATGTGAGATGAGCATCTTTGCTCGAGTGTAGTCTGAAGTTCGCAAACAACATATCTACTCTGGTTTATCATGGGCTCGTTTACCAAATGCTTACCGTATAAGCACTCATCTTGCCGAATTAACATAGCAAGGGTCGAGAATCTTACCGACCCTGTCAAAAGCAAGGCAATGAACGAGAGCCGTGTCTCGCTTATCGTAAATGCTTACCGTTTAAGAGCATGTTCAGCACACACGGCTTGCATATCACTTGTAAAAGGAATTGCAAATCAAATTTTGGTGCTAGATAGACATGACACTTGCAAATGTTGAAAGCCCACTTGCAAGGCATCTCATCACCCTTTTTTTTGTAAATAGATTAAATTAATTAATTTTTATAAAAATCGATATATTCTATAAATAAATCAATGTCAATTTATTTTTTTAATTAAATTAATTAATTTTGTTTAAAAAGATATTCTATGTATAATATATATTATATTGTTAGTATTAATTATAATAAATAAAATATAATATTTTATATTAATAATATATTATATATAATTATATTAATGTGTATAGTGTATAGTATAAATAAATAAATATATACATATAAAGAGAGATAAGGTTTACTTTGCAAACCATGTTATTTGTTGTACAAACCTTATTCAACTAATCATAATTTTTTATTTTGTTCATTTTTTTTGTAATTGTAAGAGGTTGATTAATTATTTTATTGTGGAAAGTGTTAATCATGGATATTATCATCTTCATTATTTTACTTTTAGAGAAATACGTGAAACAGTTTCATTAAGTATTATATGAAACAATTTCATAACTATATATGAAACAACTTCATCAAAAAAAAGTATTATATGAAACAATTTCACAAGATTAAACAATTTAATGAAAAAATTTCATAAGATTAAACAATAAAATCGACGGATGAGGGTGGTTTGCACGGTTTGTACAAATTGGGTGGTTTGNTTAATTAAAATATAAATAAAATATTAGTTAAATTAATTTAAACATTGATTTTTATAACTACCTAAAATTAAAATTCTATATATATATTAAAACATATAATATAATCTAATACACATGATTAATAAAACAACACAAATAAAATTATATCAACTGCAAACGAACTTGGTTGAAGAGATTTCGGGAGTGATTTGAAGGAGAAAAAAAAACAATAATTAAAGTAATATTTTATTTTATCTATATAATCTTTTTAATTTAATAAATATTGTGTTTTGGCATAATTTAATAAAGTATATATATATATATATATTAAATTAAAACAATAAATATAAAATAAATAAAATAATTATATTATATTATTAGAACATGTATTAATCGTTTATTTGAAATAATTTAATTAACATTAAATTAAAATAAAATATCATGTATATATTAACTAAAAAATAATTATAATGTATATAATAATTTATAAAGTAGTTAATAAATGTTGCAGTAGGGATCACATTTGAAAGTGCAGGTGAATTGTACGTGTGAAGATAGTAATTGCAAAAGCTGATATGCCATAACTGAAAGCATAAATAAATTGCATGGACTTGGGGTAAGAACCTATTTTTTTGTACTTTTTCTTACCACATCAATTCCAACTCACCCACATAAGAACCATCCTTGGGTTGCATATTTTTTCAACATCAAAAAATAATTATAAAGTTAATAAAATATAAAAAAAGAAAAAGAAAAAGAAAAAAAAATGTCATTTCACACCAAATTTAAAGTAAGAACCAATGTTCTTGTATAAGAACTCAAAAGATATAGGGTTTATATAAGAACTTTTTTCCAATGATTGTTCTTCTAAAGAACCTACATTTTTCCTTATAAGAATCTTTAATCGAATATGCTCTAAGATTGTTGAATATGATACCATAAGGACTAGGCATGGGAATGGGCCCCGACCCATCGGGAAACCCGGTTCACCCGCCCCGGTTGGGAACGGGGATTCCCCGTTAAATCGGGGATGGAGACGGGGACGGGTATAGTACTCCCTGCCCCGCCCCGTACCCGTTATATATATACATATATATATATATATTAATAAATTATATATATATATATATATTAATAAATTATATATATATATACTATATATTTATACACACACACACACACACATATATATATATATATATATATATATATATATAT